AATCCACCAGTCAGCTTGCTTGAGGTGTATCTTGCTTTCGTTGATTCTACTGGGTGGTTGGTTCCTATCAACGTTTCAGGCTGGAACCAGTTGGCAATTCCAGTGGAATGGAGATCCAATGCAGCATCAGCGTGGTTGCATGAGACCTCCTACCCAGAATTGGTTTTGGAAAAACAGGCTTTTGAACAAGCAGTTGAAAGCATTCCAACATGCTGTCAAGCGGATGCTCAGAGTCATGAAGGTACAAGCATTGTTAATCCAGCACCCGTGTTTGGTTCCTTTTGGCAAGAAAGGAAAGGTGCAGTGCATCACGCCAGTTCCAGAATTGTGCAAATCTTCTCCTTCTTTCCTCAGCAATCTCATACAGCGAAAACCGCTTGCAGATCTGCTCAGTAATCCATCCTTCCCGAACACCGCAGCAGTCCACCATTGCACAGGTTAGTCCAACAATCCTCTGGAATCTTTATATGCGCCACAGGTAGCACGGACACAGGCTTCCGGCAGTTGCAGTTCCATTTCCTCTCACCTTTCCTAGTTGCTTCAACCGATGCTTCGCTTGGAGTGTTGACCGACTGCATGCATACATAGTAGTTTCCATTTTATCTTCCGATATCCCACATAACCTCAACATACACCCTGTTTTACTTTAGTAGTATTATCCCAATATAACCCCTATATAACTCCGATATAAACCCTGAACCCTAAATAGTAACTTCCATTTCCTTTTCCATTATCCCAATATAACCTATATAAGCCCTATACTACTATATAATCCCTATATAACCCTATAGTAGCCTTAGAAGACTATATAATCCCCATAATCCCTAAACCCTCAAGTCCATACCCGTGAAAGGAACTCCGCGAGGCTCCCGAGCCAGACGCCCGCAGCGAGGTGGAAGAGGCGAGCCTCTTGGGTTTTAGGGTTTAGGATGGTTTAGGGTTTAGGATTTAGGGTTTAGGATTTAGGGTTTAGGGGTTGAGGGGTTTAGGGTTTAAGGGTGTTGGGTTTAGGGGTTCGCGAGCACGCGACAACATGGGGTGGGGGTTCCCATAATTAGGGGTACCTTGTAAACGGATTACGGGGTTATCTAGGGGATATATGGGGATATGTACGCTTCAGGGTTTCCAAAAATTAGTGGGTACCTTTTTTGAGGGGCTGCCATTATGAGTATTATCGTGTTTTGTGGTCTGGGGTTCCCACATCAACAGGGGAACTTGGTACGTAGGTTAATAATGGAAAAGAATGGAAACCACCATATTATTTATGGTTTAGGGTTTAGTCTACTACTCTACTTGGAGGGTCGGGGGGGCTTAGTAAGTAGGTTCATGACCCCCATAATCCATATAGTAACCCTAGCTATCCCCAGTATTAACCTACTTACTAAGTCCACATGACCCTCCAAGTACTGTTGATATTGAAGATCCTGCAGGAACCTTGGGACGTGTGGTTTCTGGTACACTAAAGTTATACACACTGGCGTTCTGACGTTCAGGGTACAGGGAATTGGCTGCTGAACGCAACGTGCAGCCGCGGAGGGTTCCGGAGGTTTTCATGTGGAGCTTCCTCACGATGTCCCTGAACTCGCGGCCGCGCACTGCGCACTCAATTTGGGAAACGCTGCTCCCGCGTGGAGCGTCCACACAATTCAGAGTTGAGATCATGCTCATGCCACAGTTCCATACGCTAGCAAAAGTGCAGAATTGCCGATGCTTGTCAGTATTCATGGCTACTAAATCGTGCCCTGGCGAAATGGCCTGGCATTTGGGCTCAAAATCGCGTTTTCGCCTGGTGTTGTCAGAGTGTTCCCGGAGTGCTCTATGAGTGCACATAGTTTGCCTGCATAGTGGTCTGAGAGTGCACTTGGAGCGGTCTTTCACTGTTGGGAGGCCTACGCACAGCAGTAATGACCAGACATGGTTCTCTTGCAAATGCTTAGAAATTATTAACAACCCTAGTCGTAGACTGTTATCAAAACAGCCAACTTCCAATGTAAGTGCTTAGTGCAGAGACTAGACGTATTGCTTCGCAACTGCCATTCTGACAGCTAAAAGTGCTATAGACAAAAACTTGTAGTAGAAGACATACTGCCGCCGCAGCGCAGAGGAAGTAGTAGGAGAACTAGTAGAATAGTCATTCGCACACGAATAGTCGTAGTGCTTGTAGGGGGCCCCTTTCACAGGGAGCATACTAGAGTTGGGAGTTTATCAGACAGGCGCTAAGTTGCGGAATCTGCCCAAGGGGTAAGTTTTTACCGTTTGAGTTTGGGTTTTGAGTATGGTTGCATTCTAGAAGCCTGTAAGAGTCATTATCTCTCAGCGACTCCCCTTTTTAAGACACGTACTTGGAGCTTCGTGGGTCGGTATAGTGTGGGCTCCTGCCATAATACGGCTTCGAAGATCAGCTTCCCTAATTTGGGAGCAGTAGTGTAGACAGATTTCGCACACACATCCCACATCCAGCGTCATCCCCCAGGATTCTTCTATAACCCGCATATCATCCCAGCTTGATGCCCAGAAAGCCTCAAACACAAATCCCGCTTGGGCTGAGGAGGAGCTCACCACATGGTCGCCTGTAGCGGAGAGCAGTCCCAAACAGGTGGCCTGCATGGATTTCGGGGCTTGGGGTGTGGGGTTCAAAGTAGGGTGCAGGCAGGCCCTAAGGACTTAGAGGTTATGACTTTAGGCTGTGAGTCCTGGGGCGCAGGCCTACTTAATTAGATCACATGTAATCAGGGAGCATTTGCCCAGTTTTCCTAGCCTGTTGGAGCTTGTCATGAAACAGAGTAGAAGGGAAAGATGATCTCAAGTCTCAAGCACACCGCCAACACGGAGGATCTTCGAGAATGCTCTAGTTATGAGCAACTCAATTCTGGATTTTCTAGTTAGGACTATCATGTGAGTCGTCAAGCACCAAACCTTATGAACCCTTAAAGCTACAAACTCCCAACCCCAGCACAGTACCCTAGACCCTAAACCAACTCGGCCGCATGGCTGTTCTGCCTGTGCTCGGGGAGAAAAGGATCGTTGCCAGAAAAAAGCTTTCCATTAACTTCCCAACTTACAAATCCCAAAACCAAATTCACCAGAAGCGCTAACTTCACATACAGCCTCAGGCCTCACGATTCATGGCTTAGGTTTAGGGTTTTGGGCTTTAGACCCTGAACCCTGGACCCAAACCTCAACAGTCATATTATAGTACTACTTTCCAGGAGCGCGAGGTAGCCGCTGCCCTGCGCACCCCAAAGCCGCGACCTGCTCGAGCTGGCAAAGGCAGGTCCAAACGTACTAAGGTTTTTGGATGAGAAGTCACCGAGGGTTCATAGAAGATTTGAGTTTTTGGGCTTTGGGATGTAGAGTTCTGGATTTGATTCTAAAGGATTGCGGTTCGGATGGGAGGCCTTGGGGGCACCGGGGATATATGGCGAATACGAAGAGGTTTTGGGCTCTCTATCAAGGATTGTATACCGGTATACCGGAAATGCTGACATAAGAGCTTGGGGATGTACATGAGGAACTCTAGAGGGATCCCCTAAGACTCTCTGAGGTTAAGCCCTAAACACCTGTTTCCATTCATTTTCTATGTTCTTGTTCATCTGATTCTCCGTTATTGGAGGGTAATATCCCTAGACCCTAAACCATATACCATGGAGTACCCTAAACATGATGCTGGAGTGTCTGGGTTATACATTAGGAGGACCTTTCACCCTGTAATAGTGGTAGAAGAGGAATGTAAGGAAACCCTAATATATCCCTCATTATCCCTTATAGTCACTATTACAGGGTGGATTGTTCACCTAAGCTACACAAAATCATATTGGGGCATCTAGGCCATGGAGCAGGGCTCGGACAAAATGTGGCTTCCCCAGAGCCAGATCCTAAGAGCAACCCAAAGCCCTTTTGAAAGCTTATAGTCCCCCTTAATGAAGTAGATAGAATATGGCTTTGGGTATACTATAACAGGATCCCCATACAGCCCATATTCTATCTACTTAAGAGGGGCTATAAGTCCCGAAGTTGCCGACAGCACGCGGAGGCAAAGAGTTGAAGATGGGCAGTTGCCCACAGAAGCCCCGCCCCGACTTCAGCTGAGCTGTAAGTTGGATGTTGTTCAGACGACATATGGGGACTACATAGTGCATCGTACGTACTGGGTATGTGCTGTGATCGTAGAGGGATCATTTACCCAGTCATTCCTTGCTCACTGGCCGTCCCAGAGCACAGGCTTGTGAGGCACACGGTTGAGTCATGGGCTTCCAATTGGCAATGCAACCCCAACTCCCCTAACTGATGAAGCCCCCCCTTAGTGTGCAACAAGTGTGGGCTCGAGCTTCCTGACATCGTAGGTGGATTGCGCGGTTTGAAGGCAGGTGATGCTGGCATTTCTCAGCAGACCTTAGCCAGCTGAGGTCGCAAAGAGAAATGGGGCGAGGTTGTGAAAGAAGTGCGCCCCTCAGCCTGCGAACGCTGCTTCAGAAGATTTATCTGGCTACAGCGACTGCATGTTGGGTACTGCCCCCACTCCATTGACAGTTGAGTAATACTTATAGTATGACTAGATGGAGCCCTTAATATGGCCCCTATTGTAGACTGCCAATGCGTGAAGGCTAGGACCCAAACTGCAGGGGCACTGCAGAGCCCAAACAGTCCAGATGTACCATCAGCTTACTGGCTCTTAGTAAGGAATAAGGGAATACAATCCCCAAGTAACATCCCTATATCCATTAAGAACCAGCGAGTCAGTCTTCCAGAAGCCTCGCCGAAGCCGGCATTAGATGGCCAACCCACTCCCAAAGAGGGAAGTGCAACGCAGCTGAGCAGATCCAGAACCCTAGACATGTGGGTCCCATTCTGGCAAACGTGGGCTGGGTTAAAGCAGTGCTGAATCTCTAGCAGAATCTGGCAAGCATGGCAGAGCAAAAGCAAGAGGAGTACAGAGCAGTAGTTAGTTACAGACTTTGTTGTCATCTGTAAGTCCCGTAACGTCGTAGACAGACCAGCTTATGGAGGGGACAGGACTGCATTGTTCTACATACGGCTCTGGTCCACATGTGGGTCCATTTGTCCTTTTGGAAAACCCTGCATAGTCCCTTGGTGATCCTCATGTATACTCTGCCTACAACCCACAGATGCTCACCCAAAGGACATGAAGATCATCAAGGGCGGTTCCTCCACGGTGGCCAAAAGCTGCTACCGTGCTGGTGACGCTTTGGTCTTCGAGCTACAGCTACGTCAGGCTCGGGTTTCTTTCTTTGTCTGGGGTTCATGGGTAGTTATAGGCTATAGGTTGGCGGTTAATTGCTACGGTTACTTGGATGTTCATCGCGAATTAGAGCTGAAGAGCTCCAACAAAGAGCCCAAGACCTCGCAGGGTCCTGGTGGAATGGGAGCATCAATCTCTAAGCCCGTGGAATACTCGATTACAATCCCTCTCACAGAGAGAGGGGTCACTTGAATGCAAGACTATTCCGTGTTGGGTGTGGGAAGTTGTTGCTACCTGCCTCTGGAGTACCCACCGTTGTGTGTCTCGGCATTGATCGTTCTACACAATTACGTCAACGGGCTGCATTGTGGCTGTCAAGGTGTAGGGTTCATCAGAATCATGCCCCAAGTGTGGAGCACAATTTCCTGCAGCACAGGCCAACGATTTTTTTTCAGCAGGACAAGAGGGAGAGCCCTCATGTTGACACAAGCCTCAGACATCGCCAGGAAAGGTTGAGCTCCACATTTTGCAGCGCTTAATCCCTACCCTCCAGTCAGTTGAGATGGCCATCTGCTGTAAGTCGTCTCTCTCTCTCTCTCTCTCTCTACGACTCTCAATGCCTTCCATAAGAGTACTGTTCTTATCATGAACCCTGTAACTTCTTTAGCGTTATGATGCTGCATAGAAATCATGCACTTTGCCTGTTCCAGTGCTGCAATTGTCTTGGTTGTCCTATGGCATCTGCAGGCCAAGAAAATCGTTGGCTATGCGTACGAGATGCCGTAAACTCAGGGCCAGACAGCATGCCAAATTGGCTACTGCATGCTCAGTGCGGTATCGCTGTGAGTCCATGTGCCCTGGAAGTGGGTACTTGGGACTTGGGTACTAGTGATTGTTGCACAGGCTGGGGGGAAGTATATGATTATTGGGTGCTTAAACCCTAGGGCCCTAAACTCTAAATGCCCAAGAATTTCTAGAAACCACAAACCCCGAAAAAAACCCTAAACCCTAAACGCCCTAAAAGACCTGAAAACTGAAAACCTAAAAACTTAAAAAGCAACCAAAAAGTGAGCGGTTTTTGCGGTCAAGTCACCAAGGCCTCTGCCAGACTACATTGTGGCAGATGAGCCAGGGCAGCCTGAGTTTGAAAGGCTGGGAGTGGACATTGGGGGTTTAGGGTTTTAGGGGCTTGGGGTTTGGGGTTTAGGGTTTAGAGTTTAGGATTTAGGGTTTGGGGGTTTAGGGTCTAGGGGTTTAGGGCTTCAGGGTTTAGGGCTTTAGGGTGTAGGGGTTTTCCACAATTAGGGGATACCGGGGTTGTGAGGGTTATATTGGATTATAATGGGTTATGGCAAATAGTATGGGAACTAGTTTTTGGGGTTTAGGATTTAGGGTCTAAATTCCTTAAAGGGGATTTATCGAGGGGATTATATAGGGGACTATTAAAGCGGTTATAAAGGGGGATACTAGGAGTTTAGACTATTGCTCACATAGCCTCATATGGGAAGAATGGAAAAGAAGCTGGAAGCTACTATTGAGGGTTTAGGCTCGGGGGATAGGGTTGAGGGGTTGTATAGGGGTACTGTCCCTCAAGAATGGAGAATCAAATGGACAAGAAAATGACAATTTAAATCGAGACGGGGGCTGTAGGGATTTCAGGGGTTTCCCAAAATTAGGGGTACCTTTGAAAGGGATTTCTCGCAGGGTATTTAGGGATATACAGGGATATGCAGAGTTTAGGGTTTCCCAAGAGTAGGTGTACCTTTAGGGAGCCCCATATTCAAAAAGGACTATAGTATTTTTGGGTTTAAGTTTTGGTGTCAACCCTAAACACCCCTATTTTGGGAAGCTACCACATGGGTTGACGAGGGATCGATGCCCCTTGCTGAAATCGTTGGGTCAGGGACTAAACTCCATAGAATCCCCATATACTCCCTATATCAGAACCCTATATACCCCATAGATCCCAAACCCTCGGGGTGTTCTCTTCGCTTCTGGAGTCACAGTTCCCTGCTCAGGCGTTCAACTCTTCAACTGCGCACGCCTGAGAGTACAGCAGTCGGAGCTAGAGGTCATGATTTGATTGTTATCATACTTACCACAATTCATTTTCATATTCTATGAAGTAGATACACTAATTTTTATTATTGTTATGAATATGATTACTATCCTGTTATTTTGACCCATGTCCAGCTGTTTGAGAATAGGATTTCTTGAAAGGATGGATCGCAAAGCTAGAATTGGGTCATCTTCACTCATGCCACAAGCTTTTGTGGGATTTCTTTCTGAGACAATCATCCTATCAAAGCCAGAACAAGGTGAATCCTGTGCTCAGGACCCCTGTTGCGTGTCCATGACTGTGCCAGCTTACTTACACTTTCAGATTGCGGGGTACTTCATCGTGCATGTTGTTCTTACTCAACATGCCCTTGAAATCAGGACCTACAAGACGCTCGCACAAAGTCCCAATGAGGTCCTCATATCGTACTGCACCAAGCCAATTGAAACTCCATTCTAGAAAGCTTAAGGTCCAGGTGTGACTTCGCCAACGGGGCACGGGGACCAGGGCCATTCTGCCTCAAACAAAGCCCGACGAAGGAGGTGGACGTAATGAGCTGGTTCTTGGGTCCCAAGAGCCCTCCGAGTAGCTTCGCCACCTGACTCGCTCATGTGTTGGCGGGAATGGGAGCATGGGTTAGAGGGATTACTACTGTTGGTGGACGACATTAGCCTGCATGACCCTATATGGTAGTTTCCCAAAATAAGGGGACTGCAATATATTATGATCCTTACTATGGGGACCCCCAGAATGGTACCCGTAACATTGGGAAACCCCCATATACCTGTAGCCTATATACTTGGGGTCGTGCAGGATTCTGTCTACCAACTCAAGAAGTTTCGGTTTGGCAGTTCACATAAGCCTTGCATGGCCTGTATAGACCTCCTATAGTCTCCCCATATTAGCCTCATATATGCCACATGTAATGGACCTTGACATTTCTTTAGCTGGGTTGGCCTTTGGGGTATGTAAATATTTCCTTTTTTTAGTAGCATGACACCCTAATATTTCTCAAGGGACTCTAAAGGCCAATTCCTTTAAGACCGTATAAACCTTAAACCTTAAAGCTTACACCCTCAACCTTAACCCCCAAAACCCAAACCCCTAAACCCCAAAGCCCTAAACTTGAGGCTTGCAGTTCAAGATGGCAAAACGGTGGTGCTGGGACCAGCGCACAGCGACATGGACGTGGCCTCGGGCCTCCTCTGTGGGTTTGGGGATTGCAGGGTTTAGGATTTAGGGTTAACCCCGCTACCCCACTTAATGATGAACATGCTCAATATCCTATGAGAGACTATAACGGGCAGTATTGATTGTCAAGGGGGTGGGGGGCTTTATGTAAAGGAGCATGGGCTTGCGGCGACTTGGGATTCGGGATTTAGAGCAGAGTTTGAGGTTGGAGTTTAGGGCTTGGCTTTTCAGCGTCTACGTGGAGGATCTTTTGACTGTTTAGGGGTTTAGGTCACTTACTGTCCTCCATAGCCCGTAAAGCACATGCCCATAACCCGCATTTCTAGATCAGATTGCCTTACGGAGTCAGGAAAGGCTCAAAGCACATTAATGAATTACACAGCCTATGAAGCCCTACGTAGAGCCAGTTTCCATGTCACGCTCCATTTTCTCGTCCATTTGATTCTGCATTATCGCCTAAGCCTCGGTATACCCTATATAACCCCATATGAGCTACAGTCTAAACTCCTTAAAGGGGGGGTTATATAGGGGACTACTATAGGGGTTACTAAGGGGGATACTAGGAGTTTGGACTATGGCTCATATAACCCCATATATTCTCAGTTTCCATTTCATGCTCCTCTGTCTTTTCCATTTGATTCTGTATTATTGTAGGGTTTTCTGTTGAAGGGTTTCTCTAGTTCCTTGGCTTCATGATTCGCAAGCCAACATAGTCCAGTACATATTTGCTTTTTGTAAACTCTGTAACTTTAGACTTCTTCCCCAATACCACAGCCTTGAAGTCCTAAATCCGCAGCCCGAAGCAAGCCCCCCATCAAGCGGTTGACGCATCCCTTCAGGCCTGTGTCTAAACCCACACCCTAATCCGATACCTAAGCCCTGAAACCCCCAAACCCCCGCCAAAATGGTAAATCCCAAACAGAACCTAAACCAAATTCAAATTAACATGGAGCCTCAAAAAGGATCCCATCAAGACTACGGTCCCTTTATGTACCAGGATGGAGTTCCGTGTCAGTTTGGGGAAGGATAAGAGCCCTGAAGCCCCCTGAGGAGCGCATCCAGACGGTCGGCGACGGCGCTTTCGCCCACTGGAAAGAGCCACTGCCGGAGGTTTCAAGGGTTTAAAGCTTTGGGGGTTTGGGGCATAGCGTTTTAGGGCTTTAGGCTTCAGGCGTCAGACATTTCGGGTTAAAGGCATAAGGTTCTAGGTTTTGGGCATGGTAGAGGTTAGTTTGGGCTACAGGCTTGCGGATTCAGGGTTCAGATCCGCTGTAAATGTCGCTTGGCTGCTTTACCTCTCTAGATGAGCTGACAATGACAGGGCCCTCTCAAGAGGTTAAGCCCGGACACATTATTATCAGGCTTGATCAGGTGCAAGCGCACTGGAAATCCTGCTATAGGGATCAGGTGTGCCCAATGCAAGAAGTCCCGACCATGGATGAGACTTGCAGCTTTTCAGAAGGGATGCCCGAAGGAGGGCAGACGCCGGTGGTGAGTTCAGGGTAGGAGTTGCTTTGTCTTTGAAAAAAATCCTGCTATAGGATTGTTCAAAGCATGCCGAGCGCAATCCTAATGAATCTAGTGAGTTCCCCTGGCATTGCAACCTTCCTTACGGCCACATGTAGAATTCTCAAGACAAATTACGCGGTAGGCCCCTGGGATATTTAATATTTTCCCTAATGGCTTTGATAAGGGACCCTATATACTAATTGTAAACGCTAGCGCGCGCCCGCCTCGGCTGGCCGGGCTTCCCACTGTAGGAACATGTAATTATAGATATACAGGTATTTAAGTTAGGTATATGGATACAGTCATATGCCTAATACATACACAATAAAACCCTAGAAGTCCAACTAGGGACGCGCAAGTAGGACCC